CTAATTAACCGGCATATCGCACATATTGTGTCAATAAGAAGCTTTGAAACAACCCTTCGTAATCATCCAACCATGTGATTAATAAACTTGAAAGCCAATTGGTCCCCATATTTCAATTACGAGTTTTGATCAAATTTAAAGCGATGATCTTTATTTATGGCCCATGCAGTCCGGCTTCTCCGGGTAAACAACGGTGCAATCTGTAATTTATTTATGTGACATGAGAGTGATTAACGGATGTTCCATATTTTTGAATTCAATTCAATTTAATTGCTTTTTTCACGAGTTAAATCTCCTATATTAAACTTATTCCTTCACGCATAAATAGAAGCTTTATATTCATGATGTTGAAGTTCGGAATATCGTTGGACCTAAACCTTAAGGAGAAATACTTCATTTCAAACACTTCGATAGTTCCGTTTGATTGTTCAAGCATTAAAAACTTTTTCTTTAGTTAATTATTTTTTAATGCATTCTGAGATTTAATTACCAAGAAAGGATTCCACATGGTCATAAAGAGAGAAACCAAGAAAACGTACAGTTTTTGAAACTTATGTACCCCTTTATTTCATTATGTCCTGTAAAATGACGATTTATGAGCTGATCTTCGATTGTCCAGATTTTTTTTCATCAACCTTGCATCCTTGTTTGAAACCTAACCTGTTCACCAAAATTAAAAGGGTCTATTCAACGAAGGAATCCTCGACAGCTTTTTTTTTTTTTGTCGTACACGGATAATTCTTACGAACTTTTTGTTAAAACATGTAAATATGTGCGTGATAATGGGTTATTTCACCCATTTCAGTTGAAATTAAAGTTTTTTTTTCCGGTGAACAATTTAATCTTGCATATAATGCCAATAAACAAATTTCTTGAAGGTGAGAATGACACTATTTATATTGACCCTTGCATGAATTTCGACTTTTTTTAGCATATACAAGAAAAAATTAATTACTTGAAATATAATATTTATTTATTTTTTTTTTCCTTTTGTCCGTCGATTTTTGATTGGATTCATCGTCTGCATTTCATGAAACTAACCATTAACTTTGGATCACGGATCGTCGTCCGTGAGATGACAATCGAATCTGCAGTTTCCCTACCGAAAATCAGAAAACTCCTATTCTAGACCATATCATATCGCATTCCAAAAAAAAAAAAATAATAATATTTTTTAAATCATCGTGTTCAATCAAACACACTTTTTATTTCCCTTTTCCCTTTTACCTTTTTTAATAAAAATAATTTTGATATAGAGAATGAACGAATCGACTTGATACAAGAAAAAAAAAAAACCAAATCGCGTGTTGTGACACGACTTTTTTTTTTTTGAAAATTCCATGCATAAACAAATGATTGTTAAAATGTCGGTAACCGGAAAAACAATTTATTAATTTAATGTCGATCTTTTCATGGCTATTCGATAATCATACAATTTACCTCATAATCCACATCATTGGAAACTGGCGAACAAGCCATGGTTACATTTATCATTTGAAACAAAGAAGCTAAACTTTTAATAGGAAAAAAGACTGTGTAATTGCGTGGCACGCAAGACACATGATGTAAATACGCACATGATTTTCAACTCTTTTGAGTTTGTAATGCTATACGAGCCAAGGGGAAAGAATTCTTTTTGATTTTTAAGTAATATAATAATAATAATAGTAATAACAATAAAAGAACTAGTTTATGAACACGAAATCTGTCGTAAAACGACGCGGGTGGTTAATTCCCCCGCATAAGGAAGGAAATCCCGTATTCGACTGATGAGGTCTTTGAAAAGAATCTCAGTATTTTAAGTTTTTAAGGAATTAAATAAGTTTTTGTAATCGTTTATTCGTTTATCCTCGTAATAATTTATGTATGTTGAAGGAATATTTAGAAAAGAATAAAATTTCTTTTTTTTTTTTTTTTACGGAGCAAGCGGAGGCAAGTGAATAAAATAAATATTTGGTCCGAAAGCGGAAATTTAAATGGTCATCACAATGGTTGGTGACATTGGTGACAATCTCGTTATATATGTGAAATGAATTTTTTTTTTTGATGTGATAAATTTTTATTTTTGCGAATTCTCTTCATGCACGAATTATTTATTATTTTCATCACGAGGATAACACCTCTTGAGAGAAAAAAAATCGTGTAACTGTTATTATAGGAAAACCATTGTTTTAGTTACTACGAGATATGTTCTTCAGCAAAACATTGTGTATTCGGAAAATTTTTTTGGCGATTTTCATGTGGGAAAACTTTTTGATCTTAATTTACCAAACAATTTGTTTCCGTATTGATAAGAAAAAAAAAAAAAAAGAAGATAACGAGTTTATCTGATTTTTTTTTCCGATCAAAAATCGTCTTTCTTATCTCTTACACCAAAAAAGTTGAAGGTCCAGGTCGCACATGCATCAACACGATAATACGCAAAGATTATGCATTTCATTTTTTGACAATTGTTCGTTATTTGCGACAGAAAATCTGCGCAGCAAGGAGCCAAAGTGTGATAGACCCAAGGGAAATTTATTCACGCGAGACTTTCATCTTCATTACAGCATCCGTAATACAACATGGTTAGGTTCTCTATGGAAATGCGATGAATTTCCTGTGGGTTACGTACATTCTACAATGATAAGGTCCTGTACAACAAGGGAAAAAATTTTTAGCGGACAGAAAATGACTTTTTTTACGAAAATGATAATCGGCGCATTTTTTAATCTCGAGTGATACAAGTGTTTATTTATATATCACGAGTATTTGTAAATCAATCTTATCAATTACTATAATCATATACATAATGTGAGAAAAGTAGTTATCATGTATACAAGGATACAAAATGTGTACCTTTTTGATGGATTCGCAGAAAGATAAGATGTAGATGCATTAATTGTTTCTATCCTTCCCGCCAGGGCAAAAAAAAAAAAAAAAAAGAGATAGCTTGTTAATTAACGATGACGATCGTTTTCTTTAAAAATTTACAAATTTGGTCTTTGATGTCGACAGTTAGTGGAAAAAGAATTTTCACATCTGCCGAAGGGTCATGGGTTCACGGGTTCACGGGAAGGGTGAACTAGGCCAAATTCTAACTTAATTGAACCCTCGTTTATTAAAAGAAAATTAAAAAGGGACTGAATTCATTTGACAGCTTCATTTTTTTTTATTTGTTACTAAATTAGTGGTCGGTAAATATTGATCCTATCCTATTACATTTAATGAAGGTCATCGACATTCGTTTTTCTTTTTTGTGAATCCGTGATTCAAAAAAGGTGAATGTGGCAAACATATGTCATTCTTTTTCAATGGCATAGGCGAAGGTAAATCGCAGGGACATTAAGACGGGATTGTCCGAAACTCTAACCATTTTTTGATACGTCGATCTTTCCCATTAGATGAATTGGTCTTTTTTTTTCTGTTTTTTTCTAGTAAAGTTTTTTTGGACATTTATATTTTCGGACATTCCATTGGATTATGATCCTAAAATTAACTTAATTTAACCTTTGGTTGCTTTTTTTTTTTTTACCATAAAAAAAAAATATATAATAAAATAAAAATTGGCGCGTAATTCGCCACGGAAGACTCATTTCACGGGAAAATGGTTGATTCATGTGATACCAACAAGGGAAATGAGATGATTCGATGATGTGATATGCGTCCATAAATCAGATCACCGTGGAAATATTACAAGAAATGTCCAAGATTTCCGAACCACGAATCATAATGCAAAGGTCTTCACTCATCAAATGAACCCTTGCATGTTTTACACGTGTCTTGTAAAATAAAATCCATCCGTTCCCAAAGGTTCCTTTTGACACATAATCATAGACGAATCGTGTGAAAAAGAAATTCGAGGTGGTGGATGATTAATTTAATTTCTCTTCGGAGATCTTGCTTTTATGGGTAACGACTTAAATTTTTTTGTGTGGCAAATCCAATGAAATTAATTTCCTAATTCCCGAATGAATAATAAATTAAAAAACCTTTGACAACTCAAAAAATTCCGGTTGATAAAAAAAAATTCCTGTAACCCTTCCGCCTTCCCTATCATTCGTAATGAAAGTGGAGTTTTGGAAAATTCCGGATTATTCTTTGAGATAAAAGGTGCACATGACAACAAAAACAAAAGAAATTTATAGAACCTTCTCAAAAAACAAAAATTTTCTTTTGTAACCCCTCTCCGTTTGGGTTAGCATCATAAAAAAATTTGTCGTTGACATCACAATCACATTACCGCCAATTTCCTTTTTTTTTTTAGAATAAGCGCCACATATGTGTGATAATTGAAACGAATTCATATACATATATATAAAAAAGTAAGTTTTTTTTTCGTTATTGCGTTTCAAGTACTTTATTTATTAGGCTGAGTTGGAAATTGTTATTGGCTGGGTCTTGGATTTTCCTCCATGTTATACTTATTTTATCCCTTCTTAGTATCGGTTGTCGGAAAGTTATTTACCCAAATAACATATATTTAACATATTTATACTCTTATAATTAAACTTTTCTACCCAAAAGGAATTTTCATTTTTTTTTTTTTTTTTTTTGCTCAAGCATTTGTTTACTTCTCAAATCCAAAAACATTTGATTTTTTCGATCACGAAAAAATACTTTTAATGTAAATTTTATACAATATACATAATATAATATATTTGAATAAATATATTGTTAATGTAAGTTGTATGCATAAATAAAAAAAAAATAAATAAATATACACACAATATATTGTTTATTTTATAAAATCTTTTGTATAAATACGAGTAGTTACCAACAAAAAAAAAATTTAACAAAAAAAAAATTTTTCAGATAAAAAAAAAAATCAAAAAAAAAAAAAAATCAAAAATACCCATTATAATATATTATTTTTATTATTTTTTTTTTTTTTTTCCACGTTTATATATATTGCTTTTCTTTCCTCATTTCTGAATTTTTAAATTTTTTTTTTAAAAAAAATCAAAAAAAAAACTTTTTTTTAACGCAACAAAAGATTTATTTTTTTTTAATTATTCATCATGACGACTACAATCAGCTTTATCAATACCGAAAAAAGAAAACTTGACGCCGTTACCGGTGACGAGTATCAACAAGGTGGTCCGATTCAAAAACTTCTCAAAAGAACTTCCGCTGAACAACTTTCAGACATTTATTCTCAAGACCGATTTTCCTTTGAAGGTGACGACGAAGACGATTTAGACATGCATGAAGAAATGAATGATATTATTAATGAAGATTCTTCGAATACAAAACAACAACACCAGGACCAAGAACATTACCAGCAAAAACAACCATCACAACAACCTCCACAAAGGAAAAAACCTGGTCGCAAACCAAATCCCGCTTCCCCTGCTTTACGTAAAGCTCAAAACAGAGCCGCTCAAAGAGCGTTCAGAGAAAGAAAAGAACGTCACCTTCGAGAACTCGAAAATACGATAAAGACTTTACGCGAAAATCAATACGATTCTGCGCTTAAAGTTCAGAGAGAACTTACGCACTATCGCTCGTTGATCGAGCAACTTGAAGCCGAAAACTATTATTTTAAAGAGGTCGCATTTACCTTTGAATGTGCTTTGAACAAGATCAATGGGAACAATGATGCTACCACAAAGATAAAGAATGCTTTATCCCTTAATGTACCCGCTCGCTCTTCTACCCCTTCTCAACCTTTGACCGGAGTTAGTGGTATTATCGGACATATGACTTCCACTTTTGGTTTGGGGGCCATGCAAATGCGACACGCTGGTGTACAATCACAACAACAAGTTCCAACCGCACAACAACTACAAAACAATTTTCTTGATTTAATTCAAGCTCCTGTGAGCTCAAATGGTCGTGGCGTTTCATCACCCGTTTCAAGTAACGTGATGATGTCTCCTAATGGATCGAGCACCATTTCCACCACATCCGTGAGTGTTGCAAGTTCACCCTTAACGCCTGAATCGATCGCTGAATCGATCTCGCCTTCAAGCACCTTCTTTGCTGAAGAGTTTGCTCGTGAGATGACCCTTGCTGATATGAAACCTTTCGTCAATTCAACTCCTGGCATACAGATCAGTCATGAACCTCCTTTCGTTGGTTCAAATCCTTTCAATTCGTCGATTGTTTCATTATACAAGTCGGCCATTTCATCATCATCACAAGTGATGTCAAAATCGAATTCGACCTCTTCTACAGGTTCTACCGTTTCATCGAGCGGCGACAACGCAAACACAAATAAAAACAACCCAACTTCAACCGGAGCAAACTCCCCATTCATGAATGGAGCTGTTTTTGATCTTTCTGATGTCTTCTCAGCTTATCTGAATGACAATGATCTTGAAGAATTTCCCGGCGTGGAATTTAATAACTCGGATGACTTACCATCATCTGAACAACAACAAGACACGACGAAGAGGTTTTCGAAGGAAGAAGAACAGATCATAAGATTGAGTAAGAAAGTAGGACAGACGTATCCTCATCCTGTCGTGCCAGAGATAAGACATCCTCTCACCGAAGAACAAATGCGATACTTGACTTTAGATCATGATCGTCGTATAGACATGATTCCTTGTTTTCATTTACGATCCCGTATGATTCAATATCAAGACCAGTATGATCTTTACGAATTATGTGAATTGTTGATTAATAAGGCGAAATGTCACGGGGAGCCCCTTGATCCTGATAGCTGGGAATTACCTGATGAATTCTTTGAACGATATGGTGTTTTAGTATTTCAACATTGTCGCATAAAGAGTTCCTTCTATAAGAAATATGGTCATTTACCGGCCAATTTCGATAGATTTTACGGAAAAGGTGAAGGTCTTGAAAATTCGTTAATATTTGATTAACATGATTCATAATGCCATATGAATGACTTCATGTTTCTTTATTTCAATTAGGCTTAAATTTGATTTCATGAACATTTTTTTTTTTTAATTTTATATCTTTACTTAATTACGTTGAGAGGTTATGATTAGGAGGAATTGAAGAATTTACATACATATATAAATATATATAATTTTAAATACTTTTTTTTTTTTTTTATCTCTTGGGAGAGTCTAAACATAATATTCTTTAAAAAAAAAAAATTTCATTCAGCTTGTTTGTATACAATATTGCAATTGCTTTGATTTAAATGATTGAGATTCTTTAATTTTTTAATTTCTTTATCTTACATTTTCAAATACATTAAAAAAAAAAAATTCCACAACAAAATATTGAATATTTGGAATTAATACTTACAATAATTACAGTAATTCTCAACATCACACAACCAAATACATTATTACATCACATAATCATTTTCATTTTTTTTTATTCATTTTGTAATTTTTTTTTTTTTCTTATTATTTATTGTCTCTCGATTTTCTCTGTTTATACTTTTTTTTTTCCTAATTTTTTCAACAATTTGTGACTTTTTCAAAAAAAAAAAAAATAAATAAATAAATATTTTTTTGTTTAAAGTACAAAATTTTCCAAGTCGCGATTTGTGTAGAAAGTTCGTTGAAGATTTGTGATACATGATCCGATCTTTTTGTGTTACACCGCATTCCTCACAAGTACGATACAAAAACGTTTCAAAAAAAAAATTTTTCTTATCAGTTTTTTTAAGTTACGAGAAAAACGTTTACATATAAACTATACTATAGTCGTATAATAAATGGTTTTGGTGTCACGAACAATATGAAAACAAAGATATGAAAAATTTTTTTCTAAATTGGATGCAAGGAAAAAAAAGTATGCATCTTCGAATAATAGGAAAAAAAAAAAATTTTTTTTAATTCGCATCAAAATGGTATCTTTGAAAAAAAAAAAAAAAAAAAAAGAATCAATTAAAGTTAATTTTTTTTTCCTTCAATTTTCATATGATCTCAACTTTAATAAAATAAAATAAAAATTATGTATGTACATTTTTGAATGATCCGCACGGGGATCCACTTTTTTAAAAATTTTTTTTTTTTTTTTTTTTCCTGACCAATTACGAATAAATCTTCTTCAACCAAATTACTAGAAATAATTGTAATTGAACAAATCAAATGTTACCAAAGTAGGGAATACGAATCTAACTTTAAATGAATTTCTTGAATGAAATGTAAACAAATCGGAATGAGTCATTACGGAATTTTACTGCGGTGGAGCGCCCTGCCGTAACTTGATAAATTTGGAAATCTGAATGCAAGCTAAAGTGCGTGCGGGACTTCGCGGCGGATAACTTCCAAAAGAAATAAAACGCAACTTTTTTTAAAAGAACTTCCTAAATTGTTCAATGATTGATATGGTAATAGTTTTATCATCATCATATTTTATTTATTTATTTATTTACATTCTTCAATTCCATTCTAGAAATCTTTACTCGATTAAGAAATGACATTTTTCGTTGATTTATATTTTATATAACTCGCGTATTTTTGTCCCATTAGAATCATAAGGTTCAATGTTTATTGGTCATATGACAAGACCCTAAAAAGTGACCACTGCGGATGAACGGATGAAGCGCGGAATTGGGGGTTCTATTTTTTAAGCTGTGCCACATTGGGATTTCAATGGCCACAAGTTTGTTATTTTGACATTTTAAGCCACAATTGACTGAGGCAACCGATCTTTGTAAAAAAAAAAATCAAGATCGATGATAGAAAAAAATTTATTTGGCAAACAAATCATGACCAGCAGTACAGATAACAATATATATATCTACCTGTAAGAAAAGGTGTTACCACATAAATGTTGAATTTCTTGAAATGATAGAATTGAGAAAGAGTTCGGCCGTGAATTTTTAAAGTTTCCACAAGAAAATCAAAAATTATTTGTTTGTTTTTTTTTTTTCTTTTTTCTTTCTTACTTTTAATTTTATTTCCCCTTAAGACATAATTTGTTGTAAAGTTCGGGTAATAATAAATCTCGCGTTTTTCTTTTATGATAATGATTGGTTTCCAAATCTTACATAAGGTGTAATAAGACGTCTTGTACTTACTTTGTGGCTTTTCTTTTTTCTTTGTATAAATAAAAACAAATTAATTTCACTACGTGAGATTCGTGTAAATATCATTAAATATTATCTATCTTTTCGATATCAAAATAGTAAATTGTAAATAAACTTAGTTTAACAATAATATTACTATTATTATTTTGATTTTCAAACAAAATCTTAATTTCAGGATGATTTAAAATTAAAAAGTCCATGTCGTGAAAATATGCAAATAAATAATAATAAAACATACATAATGAATATTTAAAAAAAGAATAATTATGGGTAAGAATGTATATATATATATATATATGTACGATATATTTTTTATTTATTTGTTTTGTCAAATAAATAAATGGATTTCAAGTTCTTTATTAACCAACTAAACCATAACGGTAAATCGGAGCTTCGGGTCCTATAGTATTCTTTATATTTTTTTTGGCAAAATTAAACTTTTTGTTACACGTTTGTTGAAATAGGAGGAAAAATTTTCCACTACATGGAACAACAATTATTACAAAACCTGATAGTATGATTTTTGTTATTTGTTTGAATTTGATTTGTTGATATGTTTGTTCATTTTTCATATTCGAATTTTTTTTTTTTTTACCAGATCCAACGCATGGTGATATTTGTGAAATTTCCTAAACTCTCTTATCATATCACGTAACACACGGTTAACGTTTCCTTATCCGGTGTGGCGGTGCCGCAATAATACGAAATTTTTTAATGCCGGATAAATAATTGTACCTTTTTCTTCGATTCTTCTCTTTTTTTTTTTTCGGCCGTCATATTAATTACGTGCACAAGAAAAGAATATAATAAAAAAAGGTGACGCTTCCTTTGAGCCTGTAGAATGTACAAAATATGCCAACAAAGTGAATTTACATTGTGTGCCTTCGACTTTTTTAAGGCATGAAGAAAAATTATCCTATCCTCGCACATAATCAGTTGTTAGGAGGCACATAATCAGTCGGGAATATATTTGCAATTCATACAACAAAAATGGTAAATAAATGAAATGAAATCAACAAACTCTATATATATATATACGAAGATACGCTATTGTCTGTAATCCAAATACGGTTATCAAGAGGAAGAATAAAAATAACTCCAATTCGAGAACCTTATTTGGAAGTTCTTTTAAATTATTTATTTAACGCATGTTTGCATGATATGCATGTTATGTTTTTTTTTGAAGAATGGAACTTTTTGATGCACGATGCGAAATGCGCAGACTATGAAAAATCGGTCGCAAGAAAAAAAAAAATAAAAAATTTTTTTTTTTCCACCATGCAAAACATTTTTGTTCCGCCTCATCTCGCAAGGACAAAAAAAATGTCGTCCCACCGAGTCTTGTGGTATACGTGTCTTCTTGATATCTCAAAGCAATCCCCATACATGATTAAATATCTCAATTTTTAATGTTTGGCATGTGATAAAGGATCTTTGATGAACAAAGCCATATCACAGGTTTTTCGTCACGTGTTTATACAAGCATTCCGCAGCATCACTTGATCTATATAAAAAATGAATCTGGTCGATCAGGCGGTACATTTTTTTTTTTGATCACATTTCTTTTTTTGAGCCTTGATGACCGATCAACATCGTAAGAACGGAAATGAAGCTATTAAAAGTAAAGAGTATATTCGGGCATGGGAAGAATATACAAAAGGGTTAGAGATTACACCAAAAGATCCGGTTTTATGGTCAAATAGATCTTTTGCGTGCTTAAAAGCTGGATTTCCTGAACTCGCCTTAATGGACGCTCGTAGGGTTATCATCTTATGTGATCAAGACGCAATAAGTCGTGATCAATCATTAGAAACCGTTTATCAAAAAGGAAAATTTCGCTATGCCGAATCTTTGGTTGCGTTAGGTTTACCACGTTTAGCCGCAGAAGCGTTTAACGATATAATATCTGAAACCATGCATTTTGTTGGAATGAGTTATATAGATCGAAAAAAGATGTTGGAGCGTAGGATAGAATTATCCAAAATTAATTTGGAGCAAATCCATCACATGGTTGAGGAAGGTCAAAAGAATGACGAAAAGTTTTTGATCACGGAAGAAGACGTTGGATTTTATCGATTTAACGGAAAGTATCCTTGGGATCATCGACCTGATGAACGTACAAAGGAATCGGCCCTGCGAGAACTTCAACAAAAACTTGACTTTGTTAGTAATGGCAAATTAAAGTTGGATTCTTTCAAATTTGATTCGGGTGATGATAATCCGTTAACCCAGTTGGGAGTTTTCTCCAAGGTTGACCTTAAGGGTGAAGATATCATTATGGAAGAAGATCCTTTCTTAACCGTTCATAATCATTATTACCTTCGATGTGATTACTGTTTTCACTTGCTTAATGAGAAACCGAGCGATGATGAAGAATCTCGTTTCAAGTATCCTTGTCCAAACTCATCATGCAAAGAATCATTTTGTAATGATGAATGTTATCGTTTGGCAAAGAACCTTTATCATGATAAACTTTGTGGCAAGGATATTGAAGGTCTCATTGATTACATTCAAAAGGAAAGAGGTGCCGTCAAGAAGAACATTCTTTTATTATTATTGAAATTATTCGCCATTGGCAAAAAAAGAAACGTTTGCCCTTTGGATGTCGAAGAGATCAAACATCTGACGAGATTTCATACAACGTTACATTATTTGGAGGATCATGATCTATGGGATGGGGATTTTGAAAAGGTTTATTTGGAAATTTTGAAAGTATTGGAGATTTCAATTTATGATTTAAAATTTGATTTTTGGATTTTTATCACGTTAATCGCGATTATTGGCCCGAATTCTTTCGGAGGACCGGTAATCGATCCAACCGTTCACGATACGGCGGCAATCTTCCCTTTAATCGCATTATTTAATCAT